CATAGGGGAGTACCTGTTCCACTTCTGGTTGCTCTGCTTCCAATCTAACTCCCTGCTAATGCACCTGGGAAATCAGCAGAAGATGACCCAAGTACTTGGGTCCCTGCACCCATGTGGGAGACCCAGATGGGGCTACAGGCTCCCGGCTTCAGGCTGGCTCAGCCCTGGATGTTGCAGTCATTTGGAGAGTGAAGCAGCAGAAGAAAGATTCTTTCTCTCTCGCTCTCGCTCTCGCTTTCTCTCTCTCTCCCCCTCCTTTCCACCCCATCCTTTTCTCTGTCACTATGGCTTTCAAATAAATAAAATAAATCTTTTTTTTTTTTTTTTGACAGGCAGAGTTAGTGAGAGAGAGAAAGAAAGAGAGAGAGAGAGAGAAACAGAGAGAGAGAAAGGTCTTCCTTCCATTGGTTCACCCCCTAAATGGCCGCTATGGCTGGCGCGCTGTGCCAATCCAAAGCCAGAAGCCAGGTGCTTCCTCCTGGTCCCCTATGCAGTTGCAGAGCCCAAGCACTTGGGCCATCCTCCACTGCCTTCCCGAGCCACAGCAGAGAGCTGGACTGGAAGAGGAGCAACCGGGACGAGAACCTGGGGTACCGGCGCCGCAGGCGGAGGATTAGCCTAGTGAGCCTCGGCGCCAGCCAAAATCTTTGAAATTTAAAAAGGAGACATCTAGGGGCCCCCTCTAGTCTGGGTCAACATCCCCTGTGTGCATGTCGGTCAGAATGCAGACCTGCTGCTAGCCAGGTCATCACCAGAGCCGACCCTGAGCATCAGATGGTGGAAAAAACCACCATCCGTGTTAGCCCCATGGGGCCCCCAGCACAGTGTATTTTCCAAAGGGAAACTTGGAATTCTGAATGAAAAGGCCCGCCCCTGTATGCACACAGGAGAGAAACTGAAGCTGATCCAAGTGATACAGGGAATGACAATCTATCCCCCAGCCTCAGGGCCAGTTGCTATGGTATCAATACGATCTGTCCCCCAGAGCTCCTGCAGGGGTCCAAACGCCAAAGGTCAATGTTAAGGGTATTAAGAGCATAGAAACTCCAAGGGCTTTAGAAAGTGACTTGATTGGATAAGGTCATTAGAAGGCAACCTCCATGATTAAATCCAGTGGCTTTTTTTTTAGTGATTTATTTATTTATTTGAAAGGCAGAGTTACAGAGAGGCAGAGACAGAAAGAGACAGAGAGGTCTTCCATCCACTGATTCACTCCCCAAATGGCCACAATGGCCAGACCCCCAGGCCAATCCAAAGCCAGGAGCCACAAGCTCCTTCCAGGTCTCCCACAAGAGTGCAGGGTCCCAAGCACTTGGGCCGTCTTCTGCTGCTTTCCCAGGTGCATTAGCAGAGATTCAGATCAGAAGCAGAGCAGCCAGGTCTCCAGCCAGTGCCCATATGGGATGCCAGAGGTGCAGATGGGAGAAGGACCACACAGATGCAGACACTCGCAAATGCTCTCACCTTGAAGCAGTACAGCTCGGGAGGGTCCTCGCAAAATCCTGTGCCGGGCTGTTTAGACCCCAAAACCTCCAGAACCCTGAGACAAAACAGACCTCTTTGGTCTATAAGGCAACGTGCACAGTGCTTGGGATGGATACACTGGAGCTCTCTCATGCTCAACTTCAGCCATGAGGGTGGCACGTGGCCGTGACCCCAGATACTTGGTCTATTCCCAGCAATCATGTGCCCCAAGCCCAGCAACGTACACGGTGTTTGGGGGAGCCACATCTTGCTTTCCATCTGGAACCTGGCTTTTGATGTCAGAGCAGCCGTTTGTCACCTGGAGGTCCCAGTGCGGGAAGTCCCTAGGTTGGATGCCTTTGTTTCTTCCTGGCAGGAAGTCCCTGTAGCTTTCAGAAGATTCTAGAAGGTGTCTGTATGACTCCTTTACTGCAGCTGTAGCAAACCAGCTCAAACTCAGCGGCTTAAAGCACAAATTCGTCATCTTATGCTTCTGACACAGGCCTCCGGGCTGCCATGCAGATGTGGGCAGGGCCGCTTTACCTTCTGGGGGCTCTGGGGGAGGAGCCACCTCTGTGCTTCTCATCTCAAGGCTGCTGCCTGTGCTGTCTAGCCGGCAGCCCTCTCCTTTCACACCTGGAGCTGTGAGGGCAGAAAGTTGAGTCCTTCTGGTCCTGTGTGTCTTCTGTAGTCACAGCTTCCCCTGGACTCTCCCTGCCTGCTCCCTGTGATTACACTGGGCCCATCCCATAAGCCAGGTCATCTGCCATTTAAAGGTAAGTCGTGAGCAACCTTGCTTCCACCAGCAACCTTAATCCCCCAGGCCATACAATCTGGGCACAGACGCTCCAGAGTAGGCTATCTTGGGGGAGGCATTATTTTGCAAATCTCAGCCCCCACGAACACTCCCCTAGAGAGGAAAGACCACAAAGCATGCCGTGCCATGTCATGCATGTCCACTTATCAATCCTTTGTCAAGTATTTATTGAAATTCACTGTATGCCAGTCTCAATGCTTAAATGGTAAGATGTCATTATAAACAGGAGACACATAGAATGAAAATGATCTCAATCTTCCCAGGACATAATGACTTTTTTTTAAAAGATTTATTTATTTATTTGAAAGTCAGAGCTACACAGAGATAGAAGAAAAGGCAGAGAGAGAGAGAGGTCTTCCATCTGCTGGGTCACTCCCCAGATGGCCGTAACGGCCAGAGCTGTGCCGATCTGAAGCCAGGAGCCAGGAGCTTCTTCCAGGTCTCCCACGTGGGTGCAGGGGCCCAAGGAATTGGGCCACCTTGTACTGTTTTCACAGGTCATAGCAGAGAGCTGGATCAGAAGTTGAAGAGCCGGGACTTGAACCAGCGCCCATATGAGATGCTGGGACTGCCGGCAGCGGCTTTAACCGCTGTGCCACAGCGCCAGCCCCAGGCCATAATGACTTTCAGCACTAACACCGGGACAGTCCCAGACTGTTGGAATGGTTGGTTACACTGGGCCTTGCAAGAATTTGCAAGCCATTGAGAGGCATGAGCAAAACACAACGCCGCAGTCCTAGAGAAGTTCCCAGCTGGCAATCCGTGCTTGGGAGGGAAAGGGAAAGGGGCTGAGACAGAGATGGAGAAACCGGGTGCCCCCTCTACCTCTGCAAGGATCGAGCTCTGAGGCTGTGCCAGACGCTGCCACAGGCTACCTGCAGTGCACGTGGTCCTTGTTTCAACTTCGTGACAAGCCCCCACCCTGAGCCGTAAGTGAGGAAGTTACTGCCTGCAGTGTCCAGACAGGGAACACAGAGCAAGAGAAGCGAGCTGGTTAATGGCACAGAACACTCTTGTCACTGGTCGTGTTCCCCAGGCACCCAATACCACACAAGGATGCATAGCAAGTGCTTTCCTAAGAGGCGTTCCGGGGGCAGCCCGTGAGGCTGTCTGGGAGAGTAACGGGAAGGAGACAGCAAGGCTGAGACTGGGCTGGTGCTGTGGTGCAACGGTTAATGCCCTGGCCTGAAGCACCAGCATCCCATATGGGCATTGGTTCGAGACCGGCTGCTCCACTTCTGATCCAGCTCTCTGCTATGGCCTGGAAAGCAGTAGAAAATGGCCCAAGTCCTTGGGTCCCTGCACCTGCGTGGGAGACCCAGAAGAAGCTCCTGGCTCCTGGCTTCGGATTGGCACAGCTCCAGCTGTTGTGGCCAACTGGGGAGTAAACCATCGGATGGAAGACCTCTCTCTCTCTCTCTCTCTCTCTCTCTCTCTCTCTCTCTTTCTCTCTCTCTCTCTCTCTCCCCCTCTCCTCTCTCTGTGCAACTCTGACTTTCAAATAGATAAATAAAAATAAGACTGAGTTGTCAGGAAGGGCTCCCAAGAACACGAGCTATCCCTCAGGCTCCTCCACGTCCGACAGCAGGTGGGGTTCGTACCCTGGCACCCCATTAGTGGGCCGGCTGCAGGCAACTCCCAGGCCTTTCTGGCTTTTTCTGCTGTGTAGCAAATGAGGCACAGGTATGGGCTGTTGAAGGCAAACCCTTGAGCTTCTGAGATCCAGCAAGGCTGCTACCCCTCTCTGCCATTCCACCTGCTTTCCCTCTTAGGTTGTCTAAAAAACTGACACGTGTATGTTTTACATTTCTTTTCCAAACATTTCTTTTACAACCATACTGATTACCCATCAGGATTGGTTGGACACAAATATTGAAATTCAAAGTATGCTGTCATTCAAAACCAATGGGGTCTGTCGCATCCCAGACCAGCTTTCCCAGAACAGAGAGCTGGAGCTGGCACTGTGGTGTAGGGGGTATAGCCTCCACCTGCAGTGCCCGCATCCCATGTGGGCACCAGTTCGAGTCCTAGCTGCTCCACTTCCAGTCCAGCTCTCTGTTGATGGCCTGGGAAAGCAGTAGAAGATGGCCCAAGTCCTTGGGCCCCTCCACCTGCATTGGAGGCGCAGAAGAAGCTCCTGGCTCCTGGCTCCGGGTTGGCGCAGCTCTGGTGAGTAGGAGGCAGTATTGGGTCTTCCTAGAATTGCTATAGGCATGATAACTCCTGATCTCAAGATTTTGTCCTCACTGCAAGTGTGATGGTTTAGCGTGACCTTGGCTCTTTACTGTCTCCGAGAACAGATCCTTCATGGGCTCCAGATGGGAAGTGTAAAATTAACAACCCCTTGTAGATGAGCGCCCATATGTTTTCCACATACTGTGAGATGTACTTTGTTCACAGCGTCATTTATCTAAATGCGATTAACATATAAATGATGATAAACTGATGTCTCTGAATTTTGTTGTTAGACAGAAATAAAAAGTGTTTCATATTGATACCACAAAGCCTAAGGACAAAGAAATGAATCTTCAGGCTGGCCAATCAGAACGGCCAACATTTCTTGCAATTTTATGTGTGGCTTCTGTGCGTTTGCCAAAAAGCCATTCTCATGCTCCCCAAATAAACAGGCACAAAAATGTATGCTCAACATTGTCAAATACGTATGCCTTTGTGTTAGTTAGGATCAGGTCTGACTGCAAGGCATAGAGATCCATTGTGGTGACTTACACAAGAACAAAGTTTATTTCTCGTTCCCATGAATCCGGGATTTGCTCTATAGATTCGTTGTAGTTCCCCAGTCAACCACCATAGCTCACTCTAAGCTAGGCTCTGGTCTTTATGATCCAAGATGGTAACATCACATGCCCTGTAGAGAAAAGAGGATAGGTCAATTGTCTTTTAGGGAAAGGTCCACGAGGCTGCCACTCAACACTTCCGGTTATGTCTCATTGGCTGGACCCTGATCCTATGGCCACACCCATCCCCCAAGGAAGGCTGGGAAATGTAGTCTTTCATGTGAACAACATACTGCTGACTATAGAGGGCAAGTGGTGAATGGATCTCAGGGAATCAAGTCTCTTTCATGAGCATTTATGGTCATTCCTAATGTGACTAATTTCAGTAAGGCTTATTTGTGTGTCTTTATTTGAGTCAAAGGAATTTCTTACAGCTCTCTCCATTTGTACTCAGGGTAGGAATTAAATCTGCGATCACCTATAATGTTGAATGAAGGCCTTTGAGACATGTGACCTCAATCTGCGCCGACATCAGATCTCTTTGGCAGGACTGGATTCTGTAATGGATCACTGGATCTGCCCCAGGAGCAGAGAGAGCCTCAGGGAAGATCGTGTCTTCTCTTCCAGGGAGCCCCACATCCAAGAACTTACCCACTTGGGGACATAAAAGGCAACTTTGTAGCCCTCCCTGGGACAGCACTGAAGGGTCATCCCCCCCCACAGAGGGCCCCTGGGGTGGGCTGGGGCTCCTTGGCTCTGCTTTGCAGGGTGTCGCGTATGTCCAACACTCCCTCTGACCCTCCACAGCTACTGATCCAAGGACACTTTCTGACAATTCTGCATGCTGGCTTCCTGAAAGTTAAGGGGATCCTCAAAAGAAATATTCTATTTAAAGATTTACTTTATTTTTAGAAAGGCATTGGTTTGCTCTCCAAATGGCACCAATGACCCGGGCTGGGCTAGGCCCAAGTCAGGAGCCTAGAACCCCATCTGATTCTCCCACATGAGTGGCAGAGACCTAAGCACTTGGGCCATCTTCTGCTGCTTCCCCAGGTGAATTAGCAAGGAGCTAGATATGAAGCAGAGCAGCCAAGACTCAAAACAGCACCTTGATATGGGCTGCCAGCCGCAAAGGGCATATTCTAAAGAGACTCACAGCGCTGTGACCTGTAATATACCTCCGGATGGCCAAGCCTTATGCTCATACTCCTTATGCTCGTACCCCTCTGCCCCAAGTGTATCCCTGTGGGTCTCAGACTGTACGTGGCTGCTCCAGTTTCAGACAAAGGTTGGGTCAGTTCTTTCATCTTTTTGTGCACTCCTGGAAATTCTGCTCAGCTCAGGAAAAAAAAATCCTGGAGATTTAAGATGCTCGTTCTCAAAACATCACCTGAACCGTTGATGTAAATCTCTGTTCAGCTGGATAAGGCTGGGAGAGCAGCCCTGTCTTAAAAAGGCAGCAGTAGGGTCTCTGGGCCAGGAGTATGAGCATCCTAGTTGGGAAGGTGTCGTAGATGGCCCAAAATTCTAGCGTCCCAACCCAGACTTAACTGAAGCAGAAATTCTCAGAGCAACATCCAACAGTCTGTGTTTTCAACAGCACCTGAAGCAAGGTTGAGATGTAAGTGTGAGAGCCACTGCTGGAGAGACACAGGAGAGTTTTCCTGGAGAATCTTGCAGAAATCTTAAATCTCTCTCTCTCTCTCTCTCTCTCTCTCTCTCTCTCCCTCTCTCTCATCCTCCCCCCCCCCCCCACATATGTAGGTGCTCAGGAGTTGCCTTCACACAGTTTTCCAAAGCTGCTCTGATGGCTTTGGAAAGAAAAAAAATGCACATACTCAGGAAACAATTTAGAGTAAATACATAGCAAGTACGAGGCTTCACAAGTCTTCCCGCCCGTCTTCAGCACTCCATCAAAAACAGTGGTTGCCAGACGTGGCTGCCGACTCCAGCTGCTGAAGTTGGATCTGACCACGCCACAGGCAATAAAGGGCTCGCTAGCCTGCTTTTATTTGCTCTCTGCTCAAGATAAACATTTCTCAGCGGCTGTATTGATTCACAACCTATCACTTCCCTCCTTACACTTTCACAAAGAGGAGCGGGCTCCCCCTGGGAACACAAACCACTGTGGGGCTCAGGAGAGCCCGGGGGAGCTGCTGTGGCTGTGAACTGTGAGAAGCTGGGGGACGCTTTCTCCAGAGTAATGGGGGATGCCCATCCTCATGTAGCCAAGGAGCCAGAGTCACTGCAGAGCAAAATGTACAGTCCTGGGTGGGATGCATAAGGAGTTAGTGGGGTGTGCAGGGAGTTATGGGATGTGCAGGGAGGTAGTGGGGTGCATAGGGAGTTAGAAGGTGGCAACACCATCAAATTCCTTCCCACACTACCCTCTCCTTCACCCTTTGCAAAACCATTACTCTCCTCCATTTCTACCATTGTAAATGAAATCCAACAATATACAGTCTTTGAAGCTTGAACTTTCCATTCAGTGAAATTTTCTGGAGTTCATGGGAGGTATCTCTAGTATGAATATTCTCACTGAGAGGTGTTCCAGAGTATGGATGCACTCTGTTTTACAGAAACAGTTTTGTCTTTGAAAGATGCTTATGTTGTTGCAATTTAGGGCTGTTATTAATAAGATTGCCAAATACACACACACACACACACACACATATATATAGTGCACAGATTTTTGTGTGAACTCAGGTCTTTGTTCCTTGAAAGGAAAAGAAGCAGGCATGCAATTGCTGGGATATGCAGTGGTAGCATCTTTATTTTTAAAACATTTGTGTATATATACTTATTTACTTATTTCTTTATCCAGGGCAATAGAGGGGGAGAGACAGAGAGAGATCTTCAATCCACTATTTACTTCCTCAAATGACTTCAATAGCCAAGGCTTGACCAGGCTGAAGCCAAGAGCCTGAAACATCATCAGAGTCTCCCATGTGGGTGGCAGGAGTACTTGGGTCATCATCTGTTGCCCACCCAGGTGCATTAGCTGGAAGCTGGATCCGAAGTGGAGCAACAGGGACTCGAACTGGTGACCATATGGGATGTTAGCATTGAAAGCAGCGGTTTAACCTGCTGAGCCACACACCCAGCTGGGCATCATATTTTTCTATCTGTTTTTTTATTTCTTTTTTGACAGGCAGAGTGGACAGTGAGAGAGAGAGACAGAGAGAAAGGTCTTCCTTTGCCGTTGGTTCACCCTCCAATGGCCGCCGCGGCCGGCGCGCTGCGGCCGGCGCACCGCGCTGATCCGATGGCAGGAGCCAGGAGCCAGGTGCTTTTCCTGGTCTCCCATGGGGTGCAGGGCCCAAGCACCTGGGCCATCCTCCACTGCACTCCCTGGCCACAGCAGAGGGCTGGCCTGGAAGAGGGGCAACCGGGACAGAATCCGGCGCCCCGACCGGGACTAGAACCCGGTGTGCCGGCGCCGCTAGGCGGGGGATTAGCCTAGTGAGCCGCGGCGCCGGCCTGGCATCTTCACTTTTAAAGAAACTGCCAAATTGTTTTCCGGAAAGGCTGTAGCATTTTTACCTTTCCACCAAGCAGCTATGAGGGATTTGGTTTCTCTGCATCCTTACCAGCCTTGAGCAGCAATACTATTTGTCATGGTTTTAATTTGCATTTCCTTAATGGGTAAGAATTTCCCTCCTCTCCAAAGACCTTTTCATCTGCTTCTTTGCCATTTGTGTATGCCATCACACCTATTTTCTAATACGATTATTTAGACTTCTTTGCTGCATTTGGAAGCATCTTTATTTATTCTACCTACCATGCTAGTCCTATTTGGGTAAGTGGTTTACTAACATATTCTCCCAGTTTGTACTTTTCTGTTCCTCCTATTCACAGGGTGTTTCACCGAGCAAAAGCTTTTGATTTTCCTCAAGTCTGGTTTGTAACTTTTTTTTCCCTTTGTGGGTCCTGCCTTTGGTGTCAAGTCTAAGAAGTCTGCCCAGTCTTAAATCCCTGATATTTTATCTTATGTTTTCTTCTAGAGGTTTTCTGGCATTACATTTTACACGTAAGCCCATGATCCATTTTGAGTTAATTTTTGTCTAGGATTTGGGACTTAGGTCAAGGTTCATATTTTGCCCATGAATGTCCACTCATTTGTTGAAAAGGTTATTTCCCCTCCATTGAATGACCTTTGCAACCACAACAAAAAATTTGAGGTTATATTTGTACAGGTCTTCTTCCACACTCCCTAGTCTGATCCATCAGTCTGTGTGCCTACGACTTTTCCAGCTCTTCAGAATCTTGAAATCCAATACAATGATTCCCCCTACTTTGTTCTTCTTTTCCAAAATTGCTTGAACTATCTTAGTCCCTTTGCCTTTTCATATAAATTTTTAGAATAATCTTGCTTATTTATAGTGTCTCAAACTTTATACGGTTTCAATAGGAATTACATTCAACCTGTTAATTTCTTTTTCAAGTTCTTGCCCGCACAGTGATAGGAATTCAAAACCAAGGCATAGGTACAGTGCCCAAGTGACAGCAGGGTTTATCTAAAAGAGAGATAGTGAATACACACTCAGGCGTGTGGGGGGGCCACCCCACATGGAGAGACATCGGTCATGAATGGGCCAGAGCATTCTCTGTGAGAGACCATGGGAGGAAGCGAGAGGAGGAGCCACCTGTGTGGCCCATAACCAACAGCAGAAGAAGGGCTGCTTCCACGATATCAGCGTCTTTTGTGAGATAGGGGCGGCTTCCTCACTGAATATACAAGCAGAGTGGAGTTTAGTGCACGTGAGACTTTCTGGAGGTTTCATGGTGGAGCCACGTGGAGCTTAACTTCCAGAGGCCATCATGGTCTCTCCTCCTTCCTGGTCCTGGATAAGGCATTGGTGCATCATGGGAAAGTGAGCATACTTGGATTGACAGAGAAGGGGAATAGAGCTACAATGCAGGGCTGCACAGAGCTCTTGAGAAAATATTCTAGCTCAATGCTTCTCACTGAATCTTCCTGCCTAGTTCCCCAAAATGGAGCCTGTGAGCTGGGGGAGAATTAACATCTTTGCTCTGTGGAGTCTCCCAATCCATAGAGACAGTATGTGTCCTCTTTTTATTTAGTTCCTCACTGATTTCTTTCAGCAGCATTATACAGCTGTTAACATAAAAGTTCTGGATGTGTTTTGTTCGATTTAATCCTAAGCAATTTTTTAGCAACTCTAAGTCTTATCATTTTTTAATTTTGGTGTCCGTGTGTGTGTGTGTGTTTTAAGATTTAGTTATTTATTTGAAGGCAGAGTTACAGGGAGCCAGAGGCAGAGAGAGATAGAGAGAGGTCTTCCAATCGCTGGTTCACTCCTCAATTGGCCGCAACGGTCAGAGCTGTGCTGATCCGAAGCCAGGAGCCAGCAGCTTCTTCCAGGTCTCCCACATGGGTGCAGGGGCCCAAGAACTTGGGCCATCTTCTACTGCTTTCCGAGGCCATAGCAGAGAGCTGGATCAGAAGTGGAGCATCTGGGACTCGAACTGGCGCCCATATGGGATGCTGGCACTGCAGGCTGCGGCATCACCTGTTACAACACAGCTCCAGCCCCAGTACCTGTGTGTTCTATGGAGATATATAATTAGTTTCGGTTGTTTATCATATATATATATATATATTGCACTGCTGAACACACTTATGAGTTCTAATTAATTATTTTAACTATGTTAACTAAGAGTGAAAAAAAATGGGGAATTTCTGTCTAGCCTAGTGGTTAAGACACCTGTGTCCCATATCAGAATTACCTGGGTTCCATCCCCAGCTCTTGCTACTAACTTCAGCTTTCTGTTAAGGCAGACCCTAGGAGGAGGCAGCAGTGATGGCTCCAAGTGGTTGGGTTCCTGCCACCCAAGTGGGGGACTCAGATTGGGTTTCTGACTTTGAGCTTTGGTCTCAGTCCAACCCTGGCTATTATGGGTTTTTGGTGAGTGAATCAGCAGATTGGGGGTACTCTCTCTCTCTCCCTCTGTCTGTTTCTCTCTGCCTCTTTTTCTCTCTTTGCTTCTCCAATAAGTAAACAAATCAACTTTAAAAAAAGTAGTGAGGGGCCAGTGCTGTGCCATAGCAGGTAAAACCGCCACCTGCTTTGTCCAGCATCCCATATGGGCGCCAGTTTAAACCCGGCTGCTCCACTTCCGATCCAGATCCAGCTCTCTGCTATGGCCTGGGAAAGCAGTAGAAGATGGCCCAAGTCCTTGGGCCCCTGCACCCACGTGGGAGACCCGGAAGAAGCTCCTAGTTCCTGGCTTTGGATCAGCGCAGCTCTGGCCATTGTGGCCATTTGGGGAGTGAACCAGCAGATGGAAGACCTCTCCCCCCCCCCCCCGCCTCTCCTTCTCTCTGTGTGTAACTCTGACTTTCAAATAAATAAATAAATCTTAAAAAATAAGTAGGGAAATCTTGTTCTCAATTTTAGGGGAAAGTGTTTAGTTTCTCATCATTAAGTATAGTGCTAAGTGGTGTAGTTTCTATAAATAGTCTTTATCAGGTTGAGGATGTCTTCATTCCTATTTTTCTGAGAGCTTTTATCATTGATGGTATTAAATTTTGTCATGCGCTTTTGCTGTGTTGATTGACATGATCATGTGACTGTTCTCCTTTAGCCTTGTTAAGATGGTGAATTGTATTGGCTGATCTTTAATATTAAACCCATATCACATCTTGGCAATAAATCCCATTTCATCATGGTATGTTACCTTTAATGAATTACTGTATTCTGTTTGCTAATACTTTGTTAAGAATTTTTTACTGTGATTATGAAGAATATAGGTATTTAATTCTCTTTCTTTTTTTTTTTCTAGGGTCAGGTTTTTTGACAGGCAGAGTGGACAGTGAGAGAGAGAGACAGAGAGAAAGGTTTTCCTTTTGCCGTTGGTTCACCCTCCAATGGCCGCCACGGCTGGTGCGCTGTGGCCGGCACGTCGCGCTGATCCGAAGCCAGGAGCCAGGTGCTTCTCCTGGTCTCCCATGCAGGTGCAGGGCCCAGGCACTTGAGCCATCCTCCACTGCACTCCCTGGCCACAGCAGAGAGCTGGCCTGGAAGAGGGGCAACCGGTACAGAATCCAGCGCCCCAACCGGGACTAGAACCCGGTGTGCCGGCGCCGCAAGGCAGAGGATTAGCCTAGTGAGCCACAGCGCCGGCTTAATTCTCTTGTTAAACCGTCTTTGCATGGTTTTTATATCAAGGTAATAGTACCTTCATAAAATAAGTTGGGAACTATTTCCTCTCTGTATTCCGGAAAAAATTGTGCAGATTGCTGTTAATTGCTTCTACATATTGGCTAGCATCCTCCAGTGAAGCTGTCTGGGATTAGAGATTTCTTTTTGTGAGTAGTTATTAAATTAACAATTCAGCCTCTTTCAGTTAGAGGGCTATCCAAATGATCGTCCATGTATTGGGTGAATTATGACAGTTTGTGTTTTTCAAAAAAAATTTGTCCAGTTCATTTGCCAAGTTTATGTGTTTGCAATTGTTTGTAGTATTTCTTTTTTGTCCTTTTGATCTGTGTTGATTTCTGCTGCTCTGTTCCTGATATTAATAGTTGGTGTCTTCTCTCTTATTTTTTATCAGTCTTTCTAGGGATTTGTCAGTTTTATTGATATTTTCAAAGACTAATTGTTTCATCGATGCTTCTATTCTGACTTTCATTAATTTCTACTATTATCTTTTGAAGATTTACTTATTTATTTGAGAGGCAGAGGTACAGACAGAGAGAGGGAGACACAGAGGGAAAGTTCACTCCCCAAATAGCCACAAGGGACAGAATGGGGCTCATCTGAAACCAGGAACCAGGAGCTTCTTCCAGGTCTCCCACTATCATATTTATTAGTTTCTTTCTTCTGCTTGTTTTTGACCTTTTTGCTCTTCTTCTTCTAGATTCTTGAGGTAAGAGCTTATATGATTCATTGGAGATCTTAATTCTTTAAGATATGCATTCAATGCTATAAATCTCCCTCTCAGCACTGCTTCAGCTGTGTCCCACAAATGCTGACATACTATATTTTCATTGCTATAAGGTTGACTGTTTTTAACTTGAGACTTCTTTGTTGATCTATGTATTATTTGGGAATATTATTTCTAGTTTCCAGCTCTGGAGATTTTCCTGTTATCTTTCTGTTATTGTTATTTTCTGTTACTTCCTTGTCATCTGAGAGCACATTCTATGAGATTCCAATTCGTATACATTTCTTAAGATTTGTTTTATGGCCCAGGATAGGGTCACAGTTAGTGGGCACTTGAAGGTGAGTATTCTGTTGTTGTTGGGTAGAGTGTTCCATGAATGATGATGAGATTCTGGTGGTCAACTGTGATGTCCAGTTCTCTCTCTTTGTTTTGATCAGTCTAGCTAAAGACTTATTCACAGAAAATTAATTTTTGGTTTTGTTAAATAAGTGGGGCAGGGGGAGCCATTGGTGTTAAACTAAAAGCTGAGTTTTACAGTTCAGCTATGTAAGAACATTCCTGTATGACAGTTTGATAATCATTCTTGTCATAATTGTTTCTTTCTGGGGGCCGGCATGGGTTAATCCTCCACCTGCAGCGCTGGTATTCCATATGGTTGCCGGTTCTAGTCCCAGATGCCCCTCTTCCAATCCATCTCTCTGCCATGGCCTGGGAAAGCAGTAGAAAATGGCCCAAGTGCTTGGGCCCCTGCATGCACATGGGAGACCCAGAAGAAGCTCCTGGCTCCTGGCTTCGGATAGGTGCAGCTCCAGCCATTGTGGCCATTTGGGGAGGGAAACAGCAGATGGAAGACCTTTCTCTCTGTGTCTTCTCACTGTCTGTAACTCTGCCTCTCAAATAAATAAATAAAAATCTTCAAAAAAAATTGTTTATTTCTGGTTTGGAAGCAATAAATGATGCATAGAGAATTTTTATTTAACTATGATTCTTGTGCTATCTGGAAGAATTTTTTAAGGCAAACACAGGTATCCACCAGCCCACTTTCCTCAAAACGACAACTAGTTATATGCTAACAATGACATGGAAATCCACATGGGGTGAGCTAACCCATTCACCCTTGCAAGTGGGAGAGTCTCAGGTCAAGAAAATCAAAAGTGGAGGAGCTATGGGGTAGTACGCAAAGCAAACACCACCACGACCCCCCAGCCAACAGCATTGATGGATTACAGCAACCTCATCAGAACATTTGGGGTTTGAGGCCGCTCAAGTTTATTCTGCGGGGAAAGGAGGGCAGCGCCCCCACGTCCACAGCACAGCTGTGTTTGAACTGCCACTCACCGTCTCGGAGCTGAATTGGAGTAAAAAGACCTCACAGCGCCGTCCTACTTTCTGTTTAGCAAGGAATCCAGCAGAATGCGGTGTTTAGATACGAAACAGTGGCAGTCCCGTCCTGGGCCGCCCTACTGGTTCGGGTGAAATGCCTTTGCTATGGAAGCTAATGGCTGGCAGAGCTGCAGACCGATATACTCTCTGCAGACTTTTCTGCCCTCCCCTTTTTATAACTTGATTTCATTTTCTATTCATTTCTGGCGTGGACTCAAAGAGTCTTTATCGCCTCCCACTGATAATCTATGCTTTATGGCTCCTGGTGTGATTGTGAGCAGTTGAAGCCGCGTGCAACAATACAGACATATAAATATTTGAACAGGAAAAAAGAAAGTCGGCCTGATGCAGGCCAAGGAAGAAATGCACTGGAATAAAAAATGCCACTAGAGGGACCTGGACTCTGAGCTACGAGCAGGCGAGGTCAGCCTGGGCCGGGCACGGCTCCTTGCACTGTCTGGGCAGGTGCGTCCCGGAGCCAGGCCTGACTTTTCATGGCACCTCCTTCTGGCCCCATAACATGGGGTGCCAGCCCCTGGGGGGTGGGGGGTGCAGGAGGAGTGGTCCCCGCTCTGGCAGGCTTGTGATGTCACGGCTGTGGCTTGCGTATTTGGTCAGGATCACGATGATAATTCCCTTTGAGCAGAATAAATTTGCTCTTGGAGGGCGTTAAAGACCTGAGAGGTTTTAATTAGTTTACCCGGCCTTTGCATGGTGGGGGTGGGGCGGGGGAGCACCAAACGTTATTGCTGAGTTCAAAGAAGGCGATGCTCATGGGGGCCCCCTTTGCCGGTTTTGGCTTGGGGTCCCCCACCCCCAACCCCTACCTTTTGAGCCCCGCCTGTGAATGCCTGGAAATGAGTGCAGGATGACATTCGTCTTAGAGAGTGCAGCCAGGAAGCAAACCTGGGGGCAAACACAGCAGCTAATTTCAGCAGGCATAGCTCCTGCTGCCTCTGGTTGTCCCTGACAGCGCTGCCCGGCTTGGAACCACCTGTGTTTGCTCACTAGCTTTCCCCAATCTGCGAGAAAATGGCCCGGGCCGGTCACATGGCAGCCAGATAGGCCAGGCACCATGGGAATACAAAAGCTGGAGCTTTTAGCAGAGTTAATCATTAATGCGCCTTTTCTTTGTCCCTTTCAGCAGTGCTGACAAGGCTTTGATAGCCTGTATTTGCCATGGGCCGGCTGCAGTCCTAGCCAGGTACTAAGGAGCACGGCTGGGCTCAGGCTCCCTGGCAGCAGCGCCCACAGAGCCCCAACCTGGACGCCGCCCTCACACCTGAATGCTTCCTGCCCCACCTCCCCGCTAACCCCCTCCCTGCCCGCATCCCAAGGTGCACCCCACCCCGTGGGGCATTTTTCAGCTTGAGTACCGTCCACCTGCCCGGCTGCGTGTTTCTGCATATCACCTGGTCGATGGCGGCCCCAGCAGGGCTGGGAACTGTGTGATGATGGCAGCCCAACATCCTCCTTCCACTGTAACCAGAAAAGGGGAAAAAAAAAGTTAACCTGAATGTTGTTTGTTTCCGTGTAGACCAGGGCTGGATCATTTTGCTATAAGGACAACAGAGTCTCCTCCCCCACCCAACACTTAGCTTAGAGAGCCACTGCTAAGTGTATTCTGAGATTTCCAGCCCACTGCTTGAAATCCAAGTGTCCCTGACTGCTTTTTTTTTTTTTTCCCAAATGGAAAACTCCAACAGTAAGTAGCTCGTGTGTCAACATGGCTGACTTACAGTAAGTACACACACATCACAGCCTTCCTGTCCCTACCTTCCTGGGAACCAGGCAGCCAAACCCCCCAACCTGATGCTACATGCCATGAGGATAGAAATGCTACCATCTCATGGCCAATCTCCTGGGAAACCGAAACAGCTGTCAAGGTGTAAGTTGGAAACGGCCCATTGTCCTCCATGAGCAGTGGAGAAGAAGCCCATAGAAGATGTCTTTGAAACCAGCTTTTCAAGGCGTAGGGATTTCCAAGTTTGGGTCCCTTAAAGAATGAGTCTTCTCTACTCTGGGGGGGAAAAAAAAACCTAAATGAAAGATCTCTGCAAGTGAGATCCCAGTGGAAAGAACAGGTCATCAAAGAAGGAGGTACCTTTCTCTGAAGGGAGGAGAGAACTTCCACTTTGACCATGGCCTTGTCTAAATATGATCAGAGTCAGTGAACTCAGGGGGCTTCCATAGCCTTGGCAGCTCATGACAAGAGCCTAGGGTGATTACTGATGCCATAAACAAGAGTGTCAATTTGTTAAGTCAACAACAGGAGTCACTGTGCACTTACTCCTCATGTAGGATCTTTGGCCTTAGTGTGCTGTACATTGAGATTTAATGTTATAACTAGTACTCAAACAGTATTTTTCACTTTATGTTTCTGTGTGGGAGCAAACTGTTGAAATCTTTACTTAATGTATGCTAAACTGATCTTCTGTATATAAAGAGAATCGAAAATGAATCTTGATGTGAATGGAAGGGGAGAGGGAGTGGGAAAGGGGAGGGTTGCGGGTGGGAGGGACGTTATGGGGGGGAAGCCATTGTAATCTATAAGCTGTACTTTGGAAATTTATATTCATTAAATAAAAGTTAAAAAATAAAAATTAAAAAATTAAAAATTAAAAAATTAAAAAAAAAAGAATGAGTCTTCTCTGTAGGAATCGAGCGCATGGACATTTGGCTGATAGCGATTGATCACACACAGAGGCATGGTCAAGGAGCAGGCAGGGGGTGCAGCTGCTTCTTGGGACACCTGCATCCCGGGTCAGAGTGCCTGGGATCGAGCAAGTCCTGCCTCTGTTTCCCAACCAGCTACCTACTTCAGCACCTGGAAGGCAACAGATGAGGGTCTCATGCTGGGCTTCCTGCCATCCATGTGGGAGACCTGGATGGAGTTCTGGGCTCCTGGCTTCCACCTGGCCCAGCTCCAGCTGTTGCAGATGTTTGGGAAAGGAATCAGAGGACAGAAGATCTCCCTTTCTCTGTGTCACTTTACCTTTCAAAGCAATCAACAAATAATCTTAAAAGACAAAGGCACCCACAGAAAAACGTTACACAAACAGCATCATATATCATGTGTTCCTCTGTCTCCCTTTTGCCTGAGTCAAATCATCTTTGGAGCCTTTATCCAATAGATCTTTACAACATTCAGGGCATAGTGGGTGATGTCAGATTTTATTGCCTTCTTTTTTTTTAAACAGATGAGGAAGTGAAAGTTAGCTTGTTTCATCGTCTTCGGGCTGACACAAGACACAATTAGAAGCCAGAAGTGCTAGGCTGTGTGAGCAGGGTGCGAGGGCTGACTCACTGGCTATCGCCTGCCACTTTCTGTGCCTTGCAGGCGGGCTGCTATCATTCTGCAGAGAATTGCTCATCCTTCCGCAAGTTTCCTGGGCACCTATTAGGCACTACAGAGCAGTTGGCTCTAGAAGGAATAAAGATGGGGCTCACACGCTTTCGCCTGACGAGAAACAGTCAAGAACATGGACTGCAAATGACCACAGCACTTGAAGAACACTGCATGAAGTGATGCTTCAACCATCCAGCCAGAGACAGCTTTGCTCTGGATCTGAACCTAGCATTCTAGAGGAAGAAAAAGCGAGTGATTTCAGAATGCCAAAAACGAGGATGTGGATTCGGATTCAAATAGTATTATCAGTTTAAACATGATGAGTAGCTCTGTGCTGTCCCTAGCTTTTACTGTTTCTTTTTTTAGTATTTATTTATTTATTTGGATGAAGAGTCACACAGAGAGAGAAGGAGAGGCAGACAGAGAGAGAGAGATCTTCCACCCACTGGTTCACTCCCCAGATGACCACAACGACCGGAGTTGTGCCGATCCGAAGCCAGGAGACAGGAGTTTCTTCTGGGTCTTCCACATGGGTTCAAGGATCCAAGGACCTGGGCCATCTTCTATTGCTTTCCCAGGCCATAGCACAGAGCTGGATCGGAAGTGGAGCAGCCAGGACTGGAACCGGCGCCCATATGGGATGCCGGCACTGCAGGCAGCTGCTTTACCCACTATGCCACAGAGCTGGCCCCACTAGCTTTTACTTTTTAAAATGGTCTTCCTGCAGGTGACATGAGCAAGTTTTGTAACCGGTATATTTCGTTTGATCATAGGCTCATTGGCCACGGAACTGCCTGTAAGCTTAGAGCTGCCTCTAGAATAAAACAGTTCATCCTAGATTCTCCACCATGGGCCCTCTGGCTTTGGAGGAGGCAAAACTATTGTCTAAGCACATGTTCAACAAAATATACTTCAGTGTTCTCAAAGCACAGAGCTATATTGTAAAAATCATTCATTCTTTTGGGACCCAGTGTTGTTGCGTACCAGGTTAAGCCGCTGCCTGCAGTTTCAGCCTCCCTTGTGGGTCTACATCTGAGCAGCATCCCAGCTGCTCCACTTTCGATCTAGCTCCTTACTGATGTGCCTGGGAAAGCAGCAGAAGATAGCCCAACTCCTTGCGCCCCTGCACCCATGTGGGAGACTCAGACTCAGAAGAAGCTCCTGGCTCCTGGCTTTGGCTTGGCCCACCCCCAACTATTGCAGCCATTTGGGGAGTGAACCAGCAGGTGGAAGACCTCTCTGTCGCTCTCTCTCTCTCTCTCGCTCTGTCTGTCTCTCCTTCTCTCTCTCTCTCTCTCTCTCTGCCTTTCAAATAAAATAAAAATAACTCTAAGAAAATTATTTTGTTATTTTTGAGACAAAATTATCAGAATTACTCATTAGAATAACAACCAATGAAATGGCCATCTGGGGCAGATCATGCAGTCCAAATGGATATATTGATAGCAACGTATTGATATGAATTCACTTTGACATTTTCTTCTAATTATTAAGGTGGGTTGAATCAAGAGGGGGAAATGGGTAGTGGGCAGTGCATCATTTCATTTCCTGAAAGAGTGGTGTATATTTAGGATTTCCCAAATATAGCCCCTATGTGAAATTGCCAAAGATCCCAAGAGACATAAGAAGGAGGAGACATGAGACAGGGAAGAGAGAACCCCTACTGAAGGTGTGTTCATGGCCAGGGCACTGCTGTGGGTGACTGGGGCTCAGCACCATAGGGAACCCCCTGGGAGCCTGAGCAGAGCTCATTCCAGGACTCTCCCACTAAAGGGGAAGCAATCACCTGTGTTCTGTGTCCTCCATGGTTGAGATGTCTGCTGGATCTGTCAACTCACTCCCCCAGTGTGTCAGCACACCCTCCAAAGAGATACTCAGCGTGTGGGGCTGGGCGGGAGGGTTTTCTGCAGGTGACCTCTGATGGGCTGCAGGATGCTGGCAAAGCACCTGCTGCGCCAGCCACCCAAGAGGAAGTGAAGGGAAGAAGCAAGATACCCACCCCTTGAAGGTGGACGAGATCATTGCATCTGCTATGCAGAGTCCTGATCATGGAAACCTACAGACAAGCAGAAAAGGCTGTTGTTTCTTGATTCAGTTCTTTCTGGTACCTTCTATGTGCAATCTAAGCATACTCCAGCATGGAGAGACGGGCTCCACGAATCCAGAGGCTGCAGGTGTCCGATGACTCTGCCTTTAATGCATACGAAAGCCATCGGCGGCTCTGGGAGGTCCCACTGCCAACCTGTCTCCCCATCAGCCGGCAGAGCTCTGTGGGGTGAGCTGGGGGGTGTGATCATGATGGAGCGAAGAACCAAGAAGTGGCTTTTTAAAAGCACAAAGAAATGCTTGTTGCCTTTTGTTAATGGATGAGCGTACCTCAACACGTTCGGGGGGCGGGGGGATAGATGAAAAGGTAAGTCTAGTTTGGTGGAATACATTTTGGAATCTATGTGTACAAAGTGTCTTCAGACAGTCATGAAAATATGTATTATGAAAATCCTATGCATGGGTTTCAAAGAACTTATGGGGGAGGCATGGATTTTCTCTTTCAGTCATCAATTGGAGGATAATAGTTCCTTCCCTGTCCTTTTCTGCCTGTAATGTCTGAGGCGGAAGACCTGGAGTCTGGGGGCCAACGCTGTGGCTCAGCAGATTAAGCCATATAGGAGTGCTGAGGGAAGTCTCTGCTGCTCCACTTCCAATCCAGCTTCCTGCAAATGCTCTTGGGAAGGCAGTGGAAGATGGTCCAAGTGCTTGGGTTCCTGCCACCCATGTGGGAGACCAGGATGGAGTTCTCAGTTCCTGGCTTTGGCTTGGCTCAGCCTCTGTCTGTTGTGGACATTTGGGGAGTGAACTAGTGTGTGGAAGATCTGTCGCTTTCTGTCCTTCTCCTCTGTCACTCTGCCTTTCAAATAAGTATATGAATGCAGCTTTTAAAAGGACATACAATATGGATAATCCCATGACACATCCAAATTTAAAAGTTCACCTGTGATGGATTTCAGGGGTGTTTATCAACCATTCAGTATCCTTAAGATGAAGGGACTGGGGGCCAGCACCATGGCACAGTGGTTAATTCTCTGCCTGCAGCACCGGCATCCCATATGAGCACCGGTTCAAGTCCCAGCTG